CCTTGGCTTTCGGGCCTGCCAGTGCCCATTGCCGGCTCGTGGCCAGCTTTCCATCCCCCAGCACCCCCAAGTCCATCTCGGCAGGGCTGCTCTCAACCCTTTCATCCCCCAGCCTGTACAGATACAAGGGATTGCCCTGACCCATGTGCAGGACCTTGCACTTGGCCTTGCTGAACCCCATGAGGTTCACACAGGCCCACCTCTCCAGCCTGTCCAGGTCCCTCTGGATGCCATCCCTGCCCTCCAACATGTCAACCGCACCACACAGCTTGGTGTCATCCACAAATTTGCTGAGGGTGCGCTCAATTCCGCTGTCCATGTCACCGCCAAAGCTGTTAAACAGCGCCAGTCCCGGTACCGACCCCTGAGGAACACCACTCCTCACTGGTCTCCACTGGGACATCGAGCCGTTGACTGCAACTCTTCGAATGCGACCATCCAGCTAATTCCTTATCCACCCAGCGGGCCATCCGTCAGATCCATGTCTCTCCAATTCAGAGGCAAGGATGTCGTGCAGGACAGTGCCAAGCGTTTTGCATGAGTCCAGGTGTCTACAGGTGCCGTCCGACATCGGGGAATGGTAATATCCCAAAAAAACCACCTCCTGGCTCTTCTCCGGCAGCGCCTTTCCAAGTCGAGCCAAAATCCTGCAAGGCCTCTTCCTTCAACTTCGGCATCTCCCGCCAAGGAGCGGTGACAGCCCGACCTCCTCCTGTGCCGAGAAGAGCTAAATAATAAGGTTTTTAGGAAAGAGGCTGGGAATGCTTTAGGGCCTGCGGTGTGTTCAACTGGTTATGTCAATCCCGCTACTGTTGCAACTGGTTTAATGAGATTTTTATAGTAATAAAAAAAAATGTAATGACACTGTAGGTCTTAGCGTTTAATCTGTTGGCAGGAAGAGCTCTGAAAAGGAATTGGTTTTGATTTTAGGGTTTAATTAAAACCCTAATTTAATTACAGACCGGCCTCCCTGGCACTGTGCAGGCAGTGGGGATGACTCGTTTCACCCAGAGGGCTCAGGGCTGCGGGAACCCCCACCCGATCCCCGGGAAAGCCGCCCGATCTCGGCGGGGTTTGTGGGATGGGGGTTTGGAGGGGGAGTTTTTTTGGGGTGAAATAACTAAAAACGGGGAAGGGCGGCGGAACCCGAGTGCGCGGCGGAGGCGGGCGCGGGGGGGGGGGGGGGCGGGCGCCCCCCTCCCCCCCGGG